ACAATTCTACAAATCTTAAAATGCAATAAAAACCAATAGAGATACAAATAAAAGAACTAGTAGAGACAAACACTGAACAGAGACATCAGACATGCTGCCATATTGGAAAGTATTAATTTAATTCAATTCAATTTTATTTGTACAGCGCAGTTCACAACATTTGTCATCACATAGCGCTTTACAAAGTACGGTGTAGACTTTACAAACTTAAACAGAGAACCCAACAATCCATTAATGAACATTTGTGGCTTAAATGTTATCAGGAAAGTTAGAAAGCTGCTTCAATTTAAAAGTTCACATCGTGCCACAGTTATACAAGCAAGGAATGACCGGATATCTTTACACAGCTGAAAGTAACAGCTGATGCAATATTAAATCATCGTCATCTACAGTCAGTTCTATCTGACGCAGTTTGTAAGAAATCTGCAAAAGATTTGTTATTCAGATGATAAAAACACTTTAAAGGAGCAACACACTTTAACCAACAATGTAAATATACAGATGTTTATATGTGCTAAAGGTGCATGGAAAGTTAGTTTGCATTGGCAAATACAGAAAAGAAACAAATGAGAAGACATACGAGCATAACCTTTGACATGAATGATACTAAAACCTGCTCTGGTAGATGTGGTTGTGAGGAGCAATATAAAACATTGTTTAATGGTCTTTTCAGAAACAACAAAAGAAGATATTCAGTAAGAAAAAAAAGTAACAACATTTTGGCTCATTACCAGATTACTAGGATCAGGAACATCAGTGAAACAAAAAAAAAAATTGAAAATACTGTCTGATATAATAATAAAAATACCACGTTGCTGTAATTGCAGGTCAAATTTTTCACCGTTATGAATCGAAAACATGTCTTTCAGGGTTTCACTGTAGACAAAATACGTGCAATCTTCTTCAGTCAGGTTATTATCTGCATCTTTAGAGAGGTACGGACTTTGAAGACATGTAGCATCCAGCTCTATTGTTTTACAGTGGAATAGACACATTCACTCTCAGTGTTTCTTTGTCTTTTTGGTCTGTTGGGGGGCTTAACACTGAAAGCAGCATAGTGGAGATTGTCTGCATCCTGGTTAACCTGTGACAAGAAATTTGACATGCAGATGAAAATGTGGTTCCTTTAACTAATGGCTGTGCAACAAAAGGTGTCCGAGTGTTCATTTAACAGTGATCTAAACAGGATAGATTTACCTCTGTGGAGGGAGCTGAAAATCTGTCTGGAGACTCTGTGAAACACATAAACCGCAAATTTAATTGAAAAGCCAGAATCTCTGAATGCAAACTATCAACAATAGGCAGTAAGTGTTGCCTGTACCTGATTGGAATCTGCTCTTTTTGCTCATCGTGAAGAGTAAGAAAGCCAATAAAACAACCAAGGCGGCGGTGAATGTCAAAGCTCCACTCAAGAAATACACCAAGAAAAGGGATTTCCCCTCATCTATAGAGAGCCAGATGTCAGGAACAGAGATTTAAGTTTTCATCCTCAATGAGGTGAGAAAATATAAATTACAGTTCTTATCAAATGAGACATAGTACGTACCATCAGTGTCCAGCTTGGTCCCATTTCCAAACACGATGTGTCCACATGATGCAACAGCACAGTAGTAGGTTCCAGCATGAGACAGGTTCTTTATCGGCAGGTTGTGGACACNTTTCAGGCTCTTTCCAGCCGAGCCACATCAATCATATCTTAGCTCGGAGATGGTGGTTGGTGGGTTCCCAAGGTGCTGTCACCCTTTGTGGACCATTCATTAGAGTCAGTGAGGGTTCCCTCCCCTGCAGCCAGTTTGGCCTAGAAGACCCTACCAGTGGCTATTGCCTCCTACGAGACAAAGGAACTGCGTTAACTACGTAAAGATGGCAGTTTTTCAGGGGCAAAGATGTTTAAGTATGTCGGGTTCTCGTCAAAAAGTACCAGTTAAATGGGGCTTAAGTTAGACTGACCAGTTGGTGCTGCATCAACGATAACATGGGCGTTGCACTGGACTGTTGCAATGAGTTCGGCCATCCAAGGATACCTGTGGGCATCTTCGTTTTTTTAGTTTTTCTGGGCTTGTCCATTTGGGAGTCAGAATTTACCAGAGGGATTACATATCCCATCTGACCAATGCTTCAGGAAGGCACTGGGAAATGATGATGGGAGCGAGAATGCCCTGCGTAGCCTGCTGCCACAGTGACCCAATTTAGATAAGCTAAAGAAAAATGGATGGCTGGTGACATGGAATTGTCATATGTGAAAAGAGCACAAAGCTTCATTTCATTCAGTTTGTCACACTGTAGATCCATAGCACCTTTGGAATTGTGGATACTTAGATGGTGGTGTGCAACTGATTTAGTCCATTATCTACTCAATGAGACCAGGATGCTGGTTCGTGTTCCTGAGTTTCTGGCTGCATTGTGCTCAAAGTGCGCAATTCTTTCATTCCAAACCGATGTATATAAAATTTGTATATAAAAAGCTGTTTAAACACAAAATGTAGAACTCTGAAAATGAAAAATGTAGTACAGTGCTGCCCGTTCATTCTCATACCCTCGGATGGAATTTTAACTATATCTGGGATATTCCAATAAGTGGGCTGCAACAATGTGATTCTCTTTGATTTGCCTTCGTTATTGTCCGATAGTGTGTGAATAACTCAGTGAAGCAGATCTCAGGTGAGCAGGTAATTGACAAAGAAACACATTGCCTTCCATGGCAGACCGGGGTGTGATAATCTTCCACGCAAGACCGATGCTTGGCCCATGAGCCATAACGATCGGCCGACCATGACTTTAAACGGAAGTTATTCCTGGAATCAATTCCAGGGAATTTCGTTCTGACAAAAACTGGGATTATGACATTATTGTATGACAAAAAATGGTCTGTTTCACTATAGGTTATATAGGAAATGCTTTGGTACTTCAATATTTATGATCATAAAGGGGATATTTTATAAAGCATTATGACATCAAGTGGGCAGCACTGTATATTCTTTATATTACATTAGCAGTTTTGAAAAAAAAAAAAACCCTCCTCAAAGGTATGTTATCACTATATCAGTCAGGCCATGTTAAAAAAAACCTACAAACATTATGAGGTGGTAATGCATCTTTGATTTAGTTAAGTGCAAATTTGATTACATTTTTGGTAANTCAAGCTTCCACCAACATCAGCTGATATAAAACGAGCCTCTTGACGATGAGATGAGAATTTCTGAGTCGCCACTCGAGCTGATAGGAAATGAGACAAAAGAATGCAGCATTCAGTTTCCATGAAAGTATTCAGCAAAACAGTACATTTAAACTTTTCAAACATTTGCATGAAGCAGTGATCATAACTGATGCATGTTTGAATTACAAAATCATAACTCACCTATTGTCTCCAGGAGCAGACATGTCAGACACACAACAAACTTGGGAGGTGTCATCGCGCTCAGACTGCTGAGTTGAATGAAGAAGGTTCTTGACTTTCCTGTTCTCTTCAAAGACCAGACTGTCTTTGATTGGCCAATCTGCTGCCAGACTATAGCCCCATATAGGGAAAATGATCACAAGTTCAGTAACACCTACACAGAGATCTGGTTCTCTAAATAGAATCACATAGAGGGAGGTGCACAATGGTTGCTCATGTTGGTATTACGTTTTAAATGACTAAAAAAATACATTATCACTATGCACGTTATTGGCATTGGCTACTTAGCATTAACAGATTTATTCAATACACTTGAAGCATACTATGGCAAATATCACTTCCTAGATGTTGAATCCAATGTGGCAGCATAACTTATGCTGTCCAGAGAATGAACGATATCACTGGGGCTGTTGTGAGGAGAGACGAATTTTAGCGTTAAACTAAAGGTGAAGTATTGAATTTTTTAAATTAATTTTCTCCTTCATGTTTTGAGAAGAAAGCAGAAATGTCCATCCTGACATATTCTCATACTGAAACATGTAATAGCAAAGTTGTTCCACAGCCGGAAACATTTTGTTTTCACCTCGAAAAGCTGTCAAGGTTAAACGGTTAACTGGTGACTCTTAACTACCCACGGGTGTCATGGTGTCAGTCAAGCAGGTATAGCAAATGGATAGAAGAAAGACAACAAGGTTGGCTGCTTAGTTTTTGGTCCATTTATGTTTATTGGCCTGTGTCTATATCATGTGACTTGCAGGTTTCTTAAGCTTTGCACATAAGAGCAACATTAGGATCCTGGAATGGTGGTGGTGCCATTAGTCTGAGGACTAGATTTTGACCCCTTTGTTGGACTGTTTGTATGATTTTTACACTTTGTTGAGTTTCAGTTGCTGTATCACTTTATCTGACAATGCTACTTGGTGAAGTTTAGGCACCAACATGCCCTCAGAAAAAGGTCTTTGCTTGTGTTAAAATACACCTTTGCTAAATGCGGAAGGGTAACCACAAACTCTGGTTGTGTTCTAGGCTGCTAGGGTGATGAGTCCTGCAACAAGACGAGTCCCCAAAAAACATCCTTTTTATTTGTCTCAAAGAGCATCTGTGAATGATGAAAGTAACATGCTTACATCCTGCCAACAACCACAACCCCTGCTACACTAAAAGAGACAGAAAGCAGAAAATGTAGGGGTAGAGGTCAGCAGATCTCTGAGTAAGGAGCAGAAGGTTGAAAGGCATCATCGTAAACTCTGCAGTATCAACAGAAATAGTTGGACCTTGTGTTTAAAAGTAAGGCAACCATCAGGATTGTTTGGATTTTCTCGTATCTTAGCAATTCAGCGGTTTATAAAAATGCCATTTGCTATAGCCAGTGTTGTTCTTCAACCCATAATCAAAGGAGATACTATATTCACATTGTACTTAAAGGTTACTGTCGTCACAATGTTGACTTTTATCAGCAAATTCTTGCAGCAACATCACCTTCAGAGGAACATCATGAGTCAAGTTGAAGTGGAATGAAAGACAAAGCAAGCTATCAGTTATTTAATGGGATTAAATGTGTATGATGAGTGACCATACACAAGTTCTTATGGCAAAATGATGCAATTTGCCATTTACCTCATGAAAAACAAAAAGCACTCGTGAGATGCCATTGTGGTTACAGCTCTGTTTTGAGCAAAACAATAGTCATACCTTCGTCATTCTTGAGAGACAAGAATTTGCTGAATTGTCCAACCCAACGTAACACCGTGTGTATTGTGTGTTTATATGATCTCAAGTTTACTGAAGCTATAGTGTCAAGGGAAATGGTCAAAGATACATGAGTAGATTCAAATGATTTCTCATCTTGAAATCAGCCTTAAAATGAATGAAGCTAAGTGACCTATATATTCCTTAACCGTACATCCAGTCTGTGATGCTAGGAGTCAGCATCTAGGTCCTCCTGCCGCTTGTGTTATCAACCCCAATGCTTATCTATGTGGGTGGTTGGCCTGCAAAGCAATGGTTCCATGT